GGTGTTCTACATAGTATATCATGTTGTCTGTCAAGAGTGAAAGTTTGACTTCCTCCTTGCTGATGTGGATGCATTTTATTTCTTTTTGTTGTCTGATTGCTGAGGCTAGGACTTCAAGTACTATGTTGAACAACAGTGGTGAGAGTGGACATCCCTGTGTGTTCCTGACCTTAGGGGAAAAGCACTTAGTTTTCCCCATTGAGGATGGTATTAGCTGTGGGTCTTTGGTATTAGCTGTGGGTCTATATGACTTTTGTGATGTTGAGGTATGTTCCTTCTTTCTCTACTTTCTTGAGGGTTTTTATCAGGAAAGAATGCTGTATTTTGTTAAATACTTTTTTTTGTATATTTTGAGATGATTGTATGGTCCTTATCCTTTTATTTATGTGGTGTATCACATTGATTGATTTGTGGATATTAAACCACCACTGCAGCCCAGGAATAAATCCCACTTGATCGTGGTGAATAATTCTCTTAATGTATTGTTGGATTCGATTTGGTAGTATCTTTTTGAGAATTTTTGCATCGATGTTCATCAGGGATATTGCTCTAATTCTCCTTTTTAGTGGGCACCAGTTGGATTAACTTTATTAACTTAGAAGAAATTTATAGGTTTATTAATAAATAAAGCCTTACGATGGTGAGTCTATCCAGGAACATGGTATATATTTCTACTTATTTAAATCGTCCTTTTTTTTTTTTTTTTTTTTTTTTTTTTTTTTTTAAATTTTATTTTTAAGATAGAGCAAGCAGGGGAAGGGCAGAAAGAGAGGAGGACAGAGGATCCAAAGCAGGTTAGGTGCTCACAGCACAGAACCCGATGCGGGGCTCGAACTCCAGAACCGAACCATGAGATCATGACCTCATCTGATGTTAGACGCTTACCCGACTGAGCCACCCAGGCGACACTAAATCGTCCTTAGTATTTTTTAGGAGTGCTTCAGTGTTTGTTTCATACAGATTTTATGCACCTTCTGTGTTAATGAGGTCTTTTGTTGTTAATGAGGTCTTTTCTTTCATTATGTCCTCTAATTGGATGTTTTGTGCAAATGAAGGTTATTGATTTCTCTATATTTATTTTTCATCCCATCACCTTAATAATTGGTCAGAGTTTTTCAGTTGGTTTTCTGTGGTTTTCTTGGTATGGAACAGAGAAATTGACAAACTTTGCCAGAGTGTGAAGAGGAGCATGTTTCTCAGCAGGTGTCTTGTGTTTATTTGCTTGTGGGTTATTGTTTTTAGGTGAGAATAATGGAAAGCATAGGACACTGTAGTTGTGGGTCATATAAATGTATTTTTAATACTTTGCTCATATAAATTAAAACTTTACTATTATGAACTCAAATTAGACAAAAAGATGGGTTCACAAAGTCATTCCCTCCTCATTTCTTCTACCTTGCATCCTATCCACCTTCTGTCAGTGATCCATTGTTTTTATCCTTGTGTTTCTTTTGCAAAATTAAGTAGATCTATCTTAGGATTTCTCCTTCAGAATAGACAGCGTATACAATATATATACTGTGTGTGAGTGTGACTGTATGTAGCCCCACTTAAACTTTGGATGTGTGTTTTTTTTTAATTGAGAAATAACCCAAATATCATAAAATTCACTTGTTTAAATGTGCAATTCATTGGTTTTTAGTTAGGTTCACAGTAGTGTCCATGACTAGTCTGACTTACTGTGTCTGTGAATTTGCCAGGTCTGGACATTTCATATATGGACTCATGCAGTACATGTAGTGTTTTGTTTCTGGCTTCTTTGATTAAATGTAATGTTTTCAAGGTTCATGTTTTACCTTGTATCAGTACTTCTTTCCATATGTGAGCAATATTCCATTGTGTGGATGAAGCTGTGTTTTATTTATCTATTCTTTAGTTGATGAACTTCTTTGTATTGTTTCTTTGTTTTAGCTGTTAAGAGTAGCTGCTATGGGGGCGCCTGGGTGGCCCAGTCGGTTGAGCGTCTGACTTCAGCTCAGGTCATGATTTCGCAGTTTGTGAGTTCAAGCCCTGTATCGGGCTCTGTGCTGACAGATCAGAGTCTGGAACCTGCTTCAGATTCAGTGTCTCCTCCTCTTTGCCCCTCCCATGCTCATTCTCTGTCTCTCTCTGTCTCTCAATAATAAACGTTAAGAAAAAAAAAAAGCTGCTATGAACATTCATGTACAAGTTTTTGTGTGGATATATGGTTGCATTTCTCTGGGATACCTGTCTGGGAGCGGTAATTGCTGAATCCTGTGGTACTCTCTCATTATCTTGTTGAGTAACTGCCAGACTGTTTTCACACATTTACCTTCCCAACAGCGATGTGCAAGGGCTCCAGTTTCTCCACGTATTCACCAACACTTGTTATTGTCTGCTTCTGATTATAGTCATTCTTCAGGAGTGTAGTAGCACCTCATTGTGGTTTTGATTTGCATTTTTCTAATGAATGGTGATGTTGAGCATCTTCTTGTGTGCTTAATTGACCATCTCTGTACCTTTGGAGACCTGTCTTTGCAAGCTTTTTGCCCATTTCAAATTGGGTTATTTGTATTATTTATTTTTGTTTTTAGTGTTTTATTTATTTTTGAGAGAGACAATGTGAGTGGGAGAGTGCCAGAGAGAGAGGGAGACACAGAATCCGAAGCAGGCTCCAGGCTCTAATTGTAGTTCTTTAAATTCATTTATCCTATACCAGATAAATGATTTGCAAATATTTCTCCTATTTTGTGGGATGTCTTTTCACATGCCTAAAGTTTTTAATTTTGATGAAGACAGATTTATCTATTTTTTCCTTTTGTTGTCTTTGCTTCTGGTGTCATGTCCAAGCAATCACTGCCAAATCCAGTGTCATGAAGATTTTCTCCTATGTTTTCATCCAAGAGTTTTATGGTTTTAGCATCTACATTTAGGTGTTTGATCCAAGCTTTTTGAATCAAAAAAACTTTGACTCAGGTTTTTAATATAGTATAAGATAATGGTCCATCCTCGTTCTTAATGCAGGAGGATATCCATATCCAGTTTTCCCAGTACCATTTGTTGAAAAGATTGTCCTTTCCCCATTAAATGGGTTTTGGCATCTATGTCAAAAATCATTTGAGCCATATATGTGGAAGTTTATTTCTGGAGTTTCTGCTGTATTCCATGGGTTTATTTTCAGTCCTTATGTAATACTACACTGCTTTGGTTACTGTACCTTTTGTGTAGTAGGTTTTGAAGTTCGGAAAAGCTTCGACCTTTGTTCTTTTTAAGATCGTTTTGTTGATTCGATGTCCTTTAAGATAGTACATGAATTTTAGGATGGGTTTTTCTATTTCTGGTAACAACAGCAATGGGATTTTGATAGGGGTTGCATTGAATCTGTAGGTGGCTTTGGACACTGTTGTCATCTTAACAGTATTTAAATCTTCTAGTCCATAAACAAGGATATTTATTTATTTGTCTTCATTTCTTTCAGCACATTTTTTGCCTCCTTGGTTCAATTTATTCCTAAGAATTTTATGCAGTTTGATGTGGTTGTTCCTTTGACATTTAAGAATTATGTAGAAAGATACACTATGTGGAGTTGCACACATATATTTCTTTTATTGTACCTGAAGTTTTAGTTATGGTTAAAAATCTTTCTTTTTGGGGCGCCTGGGTGGCCCAGTCGGTTGAGTGTCCAGCTTCAGCTCAGGTCATGATCTCACAGTTTGTGATTTCGAGCCCCGTGTCGGGCTCTGAGCTGACAGCTCAGAGCCTGGAGCCTGTTTCGGATTCTGTGTCTCCCTCTGTCTCTGCTCCTCCCCCACTCGTGCTCTGTCTCTCTCTCTCTCAAAAATAAATAAAACATTTAAGAAAAAAATTTCTTTTTACCCAGTTAGTAAAGAAGTTCACCCATGTTTTCTTCTAGCAGCTGCATTTTATTTTAAAAATTTAGGTCTCTGATCCATTTGGACTTATTTATATATTATGGAGTGAGATAAGAGATGTAGATCCAGTTTTAGCACTTACCAGATAATATAATCCAATTGTCTCCAAACCTTTTACTGACAAAAGATCATCTTTTCTTCAATGATTTGAGATGCCACCCTTGTTAAACTAAATTTTCCTATGTATTTAGATCTATTTGCTAAGTATCTTTGTTTTCCTGGTCTTTGTCTTTATTTTTATTTATTTATTTTTTAAAGTTTATTTATTTCAAGGGAGAGAGTGGGGCACGGGGGGGGGGGGGGGGGGGGGGGGGGGGGAGGGGCTCTGCACTGCCAGCACAGAACCCGATGCAGGGCTCGAACTCATGAACTGTAAAGTCATGACCTGAGCCGAAATCAAGAGTCAGGCACTCAGCCAACTGAGCCACCCAGGCGCCCCCTGTTTGTCTTTATTTTTAAACTATTCATAGTTACGAGAAAAAAGCTTAGAGTTCCCTATTAAGGTTGATATTTTAAAGTAGAAGGTATTATACCTCTGCTCTGAATTTTTTTTTCTCTCTAATTCTAAAGGTATATTATTTTTATACATGGAACTTGTTCATTTAGTCTTCTTTTTAACTTTCATCTTGAATCGGTGGGTGTCCTTTTAATGGTGAATGATGAGGGCAGTGCACAGTAGGTTGTTTGCAGTCTGAAGTTTTGCTAGTAGTCATTCAGCCCTCCATGGGAGCTACCTCTAATTCTTTATCCTTTTCATTCCTGTCTGTTTATTCATTTTTTTGCTTTGAAACAGTAGGTAAAACATCATATTTTGTTTTATTTTAATCTCATTACAGCAGATAAATTAATCTTGAACTAAGAAATTGAAAAAACTAAATTGTGTTTTATGTGAACACATGGTGGCCTCTGTGTATCTTTAAAAAGCTAATTGGGGTATGGGGTGGAGTAGGTGGGGTTATAACGTCCATTTATATTACTTGGTCAAACCAGGTTACTGATACGCTTATTTACAACGTATTAGTGTTAGATAAGGCTGTTTTGTCAACAGCATGGTAGGTCTTCAATTTCTTAGACATTCACTGGCATATATTCTCAATATTCTTATAGCAGAAATAAGAAGGATAAAAAGAGAGAAAAAGAAAGGGACCACATCAGTGAAAGAAGAGAGAGAGAACGTTCAACCTCCACAAGAAAGAGTTCTAATGACCGAGATGGAAAGGAAAAGTTGGAGAAGAATAATACTTCACTTAAAGTAAGCAACAGTCATTCAGTGTTTAGGCTTTGAATAATTAATAATTGATATTGTTATTTTTATACAGAACTAGTTTCAGGCCAAAAACTTCTTGAGAGCTATGGTATCTTGTATGTTTTTGGTATTCTTTAATGTTCAATTGATAACTTTTTTAAGCTGAAGTTTTGAAGGGATGAGGTACGAGCTAACTGAAACTCAGACAAATGCATTCCTTATTTTAGAGAGTCCTAGACTGGCATACAAAAAGACTGTCTATAGGTAACGTAGATTTGATTTTATATAAGGTTTCTGATTGGGGCCATTTTCCTCAGAATATATCTGTTTCCTGTGAAATATATTTGTTTCAGCAAATTTGACAAAACTTTTGTCATCATTCGTTTTATAATGTGTACTGAAATTAGGTTTGTTGAATTAGAATAATCAATGGAAAAGCAAATTCTACCAAGTCAGTTTTTTGGATAAATATTTAACTACTTGTGAATTACATTAATTCTTTTGTTATACCAGTAAGTGTATTTGTATTTGGAAATGAATTATGAGTTCTGGAGCTTTCATGTTCTGGTTTTATTTACGTTTATATTCATAGAGATTTAGTATCATCGTCAATAGTATTGATACCGTCTCTTGAGCATCACCGTGTGTCAGGCACTGTTCCACATGTTCTCACGTAATTCTCCTTTAACTGAGGGCAGAATTGGACTGTTCTTGAGCAGTCTTTGCTAGGATGAATTGCGATTTCTTTTTCTACAGCCTCTGAATTTTGCTTCTTTGGTATGCAGATTACAAATCTATCCTGGCATCTTTGGCACCTATTTAACTCTTTCAACAGATCTGTCCCACTTTTTCAATTAAGTAACATTTTTTCAACACTTAGACTTTCTCCTCAACTATTTTATTCTAATTTACAATTTCCAGAGGACGTATTGATACATGTTTGTGTATCTAATTTATCTGAAAAGGTAATGGGAGAAAATACTGTTTTATTAAGCTCACTGAAGTACATATTTTAGCCATAACCAGATGTAATAGCAGACAATATTAAGTGTACAACTTAATATTCATTGTAGGAGAAGGAACACAATAAAGAACCAGATTCAAGTGTGGGCAAAGAAGTAGATGACAAGGATGCACCAAGGACTGAGGAAAACAAAGTCCAGCAAAATGGGAATTGTCAGCCAAATGAAGAAAACCTCTCTACCAAAACAGAAGCAGTGTAGGACTGACAGATGCACCTCTAAACACACGCTGGAATAAAATCCAAAGCTATTAATTCTTCCAACAAGATGTTATACAGTGAAGAAATCCAGTTGAGTATGAAGATACGAACTAACAGCTTTTCTAGTTGTTAGGTGACTTTGTGGCCATCTTGTTACTGAGTAAGAAAATAAAGCATGGACATCGTGAAAATAACAGGTGTTACCCAAACTCCTCATCTTCTAGAATTTGTGCATTTCCATGGTGGCTGACACACTTGTCATGTGGTTTGTTAGTGTTTGCCAAGAACCATTGCAAATTAATGGGACGTCAAAGATCCAAATTTGTACTGTCCACAGAGACTGGAGATAAGCATTGGAGGCTCTTTTAAAAAATGGTTGTTACTGAATTTTGTATTGTTTTACTTTTTTTTTTTTTTTTAATTTCAATATATACAGATTTGATGATGTGCTTGAAATCGGTGCAAATATATACACACCCTTGTAAGTGCAGAGTATGTAAGAAGTTTTAACATTTACTTCACAGGATTTACGGTGGTTGTGTTAAATTCTCACTATTGTGTTTTCTTTTGCTCACTGTTTAGGACAACAGTTTTTTGTTAAAATAGTTTTACAGACTAAAATTGCTTAAATAAGTGGATTAACAAACAACTGACAATGCATGCTACTGTTCTCTTTCAAAAGGAAGAGCAACTGTATTGAATACTAATAATAATGGATTAGTATTCAGCGTTTAGAATCATTGGGTCTCCTCACAAAGTAAGCATTTCCTTTTGAACTTTTTTTGACATTTCCAAGCTTATTATGAATAATATTGCAGTGTGTGTTGTCAGCTGTAGGTGGCAAAGGTGCCATTATTAAAAGAAAACTGGGTTTTCAAAACGGGCTATGGGAGCACAAGCTGAAGCTTTAGTGCCTTCTACAATGTGGTATACTGTTTTCTAGAATTTTATATGTGCTAGTCATTCTCAATTCATACGGAACTTAGATGGATATTTCATTCACTCCCATAGAGAAAGTGTCCAAAATAGTGTGTCAGAGAAGAGCTTCTTACATAGCTCACCTAACATGAGGGAAGTCCTGCTTTTAAGAATGACTTCAGAGCTTAAAACAACAATGCAGTTTTGGGACCATCAGTTTTATACTGTGATAATTGAATATGAAGCATGTTCTTACTTTACTTAAATCAGAGCGAACACTTTCGTTGTCTCCATTGGATGGCCTTAATTATTACCTCTTAATCATCTTCTCGTAAGTGATGTGCAGAAATTATATGTAAAACAGAACACGTGAGATTATTTGTTTTAAGGATATGTTTACTTGAGTTTAAAATATAGGTCATCCGTTACTCTTAGGCTCACTTTTTGCAGGAAGTATGCAAGTAGTAAAATGACAACATTGCTAATATTTTCCCCAAAGCCATAACTCATAATTTCAGAAATCTTTTCATTATTGTTATATTCCCCCAAAAGTTATACCTTTCAATTAGCATGTTCTTAAAAAAAATCAAGTATAATTATTTTAATGCAATCTAATACAATCAAATTACTCCGTTGCCTTACCTCATGGGAAGAGTTACTTATAGATTTAAAAAGCTGAGTAGCACATCAGTTACTTGGTTTCAACTTGAGTTTTCTTTTAATGTTTATACTATTGAAACTTAAGTATTCGATAGAAAATGGAAAGAATTGCCCTTATTGCAAGTAATGAAGCCTGGTTTGATTATGAAGCTGCTTAATTACTCTTCATGTGTTCAGAATTACTGTGTTTTTTTTTTCCTTTTTGTCACCATGTACATTAAAATTTTTGAAAATGCTTTACTATGTAAAGTATAGATGGTCATTTTAATCATTCAACCACATACGGTTGGCTGGTAAACAGCTTATTCTGATACAAGAATGCTTGGGTGCATATGGAAAGATTGTGAGTGTGTGTCTTGCATCAACAGCTGTCTTATTTATAATATGTAGTAGAATAGAGCAAATGTTTGAATCTTTGTTATTTTTAGTACCATTTCTCTAATAAAGCTAAGTATTTTAGAGGAGAGTATTTGTTTATGCATTTCAAAACAGCATCTTAGTTTATCATGTCTGTCTTGTTTTAGTTGGCATAGAAATTGTTTCAACGTGGAGAAAACATGTTTGTGTGGTGTTTTGAGTTATTTCTTGTACTCGGACTCAATGTTTCCTTTGTTGGCAGTTAATATAATTAGGTTCCTGCTACTAATTATTTTTCTTGCTGATGATATTCAGTTTTAAAATAATACTTCTTTTGAAAGACACTGATTTGTAAAAGGAGGACATGAATAGGAATATAGGAGATCCAGAGAGAGTGAAACATGTTCTTAAATGTGTTTATGGAAGCAAAGTTTTCTAGGGCTTGGAGGTATTGGAGTGAGTGTGTGCGAGAGAGAGAGATTGAGAGAGAGAGAGAGAGGGATAGGTTTTCTTTTCTTTGTTCACTTATAGGAGCCTGGTAGGTTTCCATTTTTTTGTTACTTTCTTTCAAGGTATTTTGTTTTTTCTTTAAGACTATTCTTTTTCATCCCAGGTAGATGTCAGGAAAACTTGAGGTAAGGCCAAGAAGACAGTAATTGTATACTTGATCCCTTTTTTAATTACGTTTTTTTTTAGCTTGATTATACAGAGAGTACATTCTGTTCCTTAATTGTGGTTGCCATTTATCATTCTAGACAAATTCTGTTGATCCTCATGTTTCTTTTCACAGTGCATGATGAATTATTTATATTAAGGTGGACCTTCATAATAAGGTGACCAGTTTTATGTGTGAAAACAAGCATAAATCCTTAACTTCTGCATTTGCCTCTGTATTATTTCTCCATCTAGTCTAATTTATAATTGCAAACACTAGACAACTTGTGATTTTGTTTAGTATTCTTACATTCAATAGTTTCAGTCTATACCATATTGATCTTCAGAAGTGTCAGAGGCTTAAATTTTGACATGCTTAAAAGAAAAATTCAAGTTTAGAATCCTTTCTTGTCAAGAAAGTAACTTCATTTGTGACATTATTTGCAGGACCTCATTCATTCCTATATATATGTTGCTATCTTTATCTTAAAACTTTAAAAAGTCTTTAAATCAGCCCTGAAGACACTATTTAATTTTAAGAATTAGAATATGTAGTAATAGGCCCTTAATCATTTAAAAAAATCTATTAGAAGTAATATGATTTGATAAAATCATATTTTTATGATTAGTCTTTTTAGTGGTTGACTTAGCTATTAGTATGAATCCTTTTGGAAGGATGCATTAAATAACATTTCAGTGCATTATTTCTTATATTTTCACTAAAAGATAGTATCTGATTTTAACGGACTGGGTTATGAAGTAGAGCCGTGTCCACAAAGTATGTTCCTTATATGTTTAACTATTTTTTCTTTTCACTACCTACATACTTAGTGTCCTCACGTTTATTTAGCTAGTGTAATAATTCATTTAAAATTGTTTATTTTCAAATTTCAAAAGTTAGGGCTCTTAAAAGGGCTAAATTAGATTTCTGGAAGCAGTAGTAAGTATAGTGTAATATAAAGTCTTTTAAAATAAAATTGACTTCCTTACCTAATTTTGGGTTTGTGGGTGAATTTTTCTTAAATACACTCTTATTGGTGATTTTGCCTGAAGATTGATACCTTACTTTAAAAACAAAAGCTAAAGCTATTGATGGTTTTTTGGTCCATATTCAGTTAGGTTGGTAGTAAGTAATAATTACATTTCTTTCCATCCTATTTTAAGGTATTTTTGTATTTCCTAGCAAGTAATTTATCATAATAATTAGTTTATATCTAAGACAACATTTCTTGATATATTGTTTTTAAACACAGGGTTTTAGTTTGTTTCCTGATTTTTAAATTAACTTTGTATGTAGCTAACATTTTAATTTTGAAAATTGCCAACTTGTGGGAAACTTCACATATTTTACTGCTAAGATTTATTTCCCTGGGATTGGAATGGAATAGTAGTTCTCTCCATTCTTAACTTTCTTTTGCTAGATAGATAATTTCTTGACTCTATGTGCAAGTTCAAATTTATGAAAATCATGCTGAAAGAATTAGAATTGAAGAGATGGAGTTCCATCAACTTGAGGCAGCATGGTAGGCAACAAATGGTTGGGGGGCAATCTGCAGAACTCCCTGATTTCCACAGAAGATTACATCTGGGTGTATTGTGTCGTTGTATAGGTAGTTCAGTTTAATAGTTAAATATTCTTCTTAATCTTACAATAGTGTTCTTTACATGATGCTATGGGTTATCAAGGGAAGAGTTTAACATGTAAACATAAGATGCTGCATAGGTCGTGTATATTTATGTGAGTAGGGCTACTTCTAAGTGGTACTAGTAAAGATTTATCAAATGATGCTGCTATTGTGTTGCTATATTTTTAATAAAATGAAAATCTTAAAATCTCACCACTGTTGAGTAGTAATTTCACTTATTTCTGAGACATTTATGTACCTATTTATGACTTATTTTTTATAACTGAAAGGTGGTAATGGGCTCTTCTAGGGGTGTGTCGTATCTTTCTGGTTTTGGTTTATAGTGCCAGCCTAACAGGATGATGTGGAAAATGTTCCCTCATCTTCAGTTCTCTGAAGGACTTTGTATCATATTGTCATTACTTCTTCCATAAATGTTAGGTAGAATTTCACAATAAAGCTAACCTGAGTCTGGAATTTCCTTCTCACATTACAAATCAATTTGAAAACTAGATTTAGGATTATTTATGTTTTTTCTTCTTCTTCTTCTTGAGTAAGGTTTGGTGTTTGTGCATCTTCAAAGGAATTTGTTGTCCAGTCTATTCCAAGTCTGTTCTAACTTGTCAAATCTATTGGCATAAAGTTCATGGAATCTCATTCCTAATATTGTTAATATGTTTTTTTTAATCCGTTTATTGATTTAAAGTAAGTCAGATTTTGCTTTCATCAGATTTCCTCTGTTGTTTTTCTGCTTTTTATTTCACTGATTTCTGCTCTTTGTTATTTC